AAATACATAGAGACTAACTGCAGTTGACAGATTGGTTTAGAAACATACATAAAACAAACCTTGGGAGCATTCAGACCTAAGTGAGAGAGGGCTGAGGCTCAGGAATTCCTGGACTGAACAGATAAATAGGACAATGCCAAGAACATTTAGATTATTATTTTGAATGTAATCATTTGTAAATATAGCTACTAACATGTAATGAACTATGGAGAAGCACATATCACAGGGGTTAAAAACATGCATCCAAGAACCAGACTTCTCAGATTTTAATTCTGGTTTTATGCTTAATTCTGGGTAGTTAGTTAACATTTCTGCGCCTCACTTTCTTCATCAGTGGAGATAACAAGGCCAACCTCAGAGAGTTTTAGTAAGGTTTAAATGAATTTATATCAATCTATCATCAACTTATCAATCATATTAAACTGTAGGGATACAGCAATATAAATATATGTATACATATATAACCGTTAGCTATCATTACTTTTATTATTATCATTATAGGCAGACACTAGTCAAAATATCGAATCAATCATCACAAAAATTCTTAGGTGACTGCAACATGATGAGGTAAATTTAGTTACTCATAAATAACACCATTAGTAAGTAGTGGACCCAAGATTTGATCTTAAGCATTATGGACCCATAGATTATTATGCTCTATAAACAAAACCTTATTTACAAAGCATTACAATAATGCTAAATAAATCACAAAACAGTAAGTATATTTATGTTTATAAGGTTTACATTATCCCATGTGACTTACCCAAGTGACAAATTTACAATTAAAAAAATATTTATTTTACCACTGCAGTCTGAGAAGTAGAGAATGGTACTGTTTAGACAGTATGTTGAAGCAATAAGCCTCTCTTTTTTCCAATGACATATTATCTATTAATAATAAGTAATTAAGGGAAACATTCAGTAATAAACACTTGATTGAGGTAATCCAAAAATAAACAGCTGTTTAGAATATATTCAGAATGGCTTTGCCATATGCATTTTTTAATTTTTTCCATATTTTTGATTCTTAAAAATTTATGTAAGAAGTAGAAATATTTGAATCACAGATTGAACAATGCATTCTAAAAGAAATACTGATTACATTGTTCCCATACACAAGTTCTTGAATTCACAAAGAAGCTGTTACATTTGATGAAAGCGGGCATGTTATACTTCCTCTGATGTGCATGCACATGGACTGAGAAATACTTCCTCATTTTCTTTAAGTACAAAGTCATACTTGCAGAGTGGTGGTCTGTGAAAGAAGTAAAGAGAAAGAAAAAAAAAACTATCAGTAGAACAGCAAAGTTCCTTTTCTTCTCATAAGTATTAGAATATTTTATGTCAGTAACTAACTAGTTATCCAAATACAGAAAGCTGGAACAAACCTATGCGATCATTTCAACTCCATCTCATTGGGCTATGTTAGAATGAAGTAGGCACAATGTTTATGAAAAAAACAAAAACTCCCTGTGTTTCAACTTCTCTCTTTGTTACTTCATTGAAATACTTAAAATGTATGAGAGATATTGCTGCATACGGAAATAATTGAAACCTGAACTCAATCGAATGGCTAGGCCACTTCTTCTACCATTGGTAGTCACCATGTAAGAGCTGAGCTGAATTGCAGAGACAAATTTTGCCAAAATAATTTAATCAATTCTCTTTGTCACCCACTAAAATGGAAATAACAATGTGTAAAGTATTCTATATCTTGGAGTGATTGTATAGTTAGTATTCAAAGATTTCTGAGAAGTCAAGTCACTGTAGTGAATCAGGCATTTTGTCTAGTTATTTATCTTTCTGTTAATGTCTTGAAAACCTTTTAAAAAGTAAGTTAACTATAATAAGAAAAGATTGGTAAAAGTTAAGGAAAGGAGCTAAAGAAAAAAATGGTAATACTAAAGAAATTTCCTGTATAGGCAATAGTAACTTAGGGAAAAAGGGGTAATTCAACTGCACAGTTGCTGGTAGTTCACCTTCGTCATATGCACTGATCTAGTTCAAGAGACACATTGCTCCAGTCTTCCTCTAGCTTGATTAAGACATTATTGAACAAGTTTTTAAAAACTTCAACAGAATTTTTAGGTTAAATTGTTCAATTTTTAAATAAACCAATTTTATATTTCTGCTAATATATTTGCAAGTAATAAAATGAATTCATCTTAATTATAAAAGCTGATATAAAATACTACAGTATTTTGCATTTGAAATAATAAAGGTATCTTAGAATTTTAATGTTACAATAGCAGTATATGTAAAATGATAGTACTTGAATCTTATAAGATTTTTTAGATGTTAGCAAAAGTAGCTTTTTATTAAGTTATCAGAAATAAGAATATAATTGAAAAATCAGATATCATCCTTTCTTTGTTATTAAGAACTAAGTGTAGGAATGACTGTATCACTTTCTTGCCAAAATTTATATATACTTATATCAATTATTTATCCTGCTACATCCCTTATTTACTGAATGTACCTTCAGTGCTCTGGACCTCCCTGATCCATCTCATTTTTAAGTTTTTATAGTAAAGGACCTGTATCATTAAACTTATTAATAAATAAGTTACCTGAGCCATAAGTAATTCTTCTATTCATATATTTATAATATGACAATAAGGTAAGTGTATTTTTATTTCTTTTTCTACAATAAAGTAAAAGCTTTCAATCCTGCTACCACTGAATACCTTTGATCAGTAATACAGTAAATGCATATTTTTAATTAAATATTTCCCATTATAAAAAGCCTCTGAAAGCATTACAAAATTTAGACAGGTTAATAATGCCTATCAAAGTTAAACTTCACCAACACAAATTAGAAAAATTAATTTTCTTTGTTTTTATATTGTGAAAAGCCTACTAGTTTAATTGCCATGACTCTAATTTTGATATTATTTATTCTGTGTTCCTTCTCCCCAGGAAACAAAACTATTTTAAAAACTATAATTTAAAAGAAAACTTGCGATATACGTTAAACTATCATGGAAAGAAGAATATTATTTTTTTTTTAAATTTCAAATAGAGCACTAAATATTGCATTTTTAATGCATTGCTTACTACAAATTAGCACAAACACATTACACTGATAAAGAATAAACTTTAATAAAATAATAGAAGAAATCCAATAATTATAAATCTCTCTAAAAATCAAATCAAATTATTTTTTACATTTTAATCCTCTATGCCAAATTACAAGATGTATATGTGCTCCCTTATTTGAACATTCTCCCTATGGCTTTGTACAAAATATCACATCTACGAATCTAATATTCTTTTAAAAAGTTACTTAGGATAAAGTTTCCAGCACCAACACAGGGCTTATACCCACCTGCCAGATAGGAAAAACCAATAACTCACAGGTCACTGGTAAAATGAATAGAAGGCTCTTGCCTCAGGAATGGGAGCAACTAACTCCAAACTGAGCACTACTCCAGCCCTGCCTAATAAATCTTGAAAGCACGACCTGAAAGAATCAACTTGTTTGTAAGTAACTTAATAGCATCTTGAGAATAAACCTGAAAATATTTATAGTAATAAAATAGTATAAAGTACCCAATGTGACAAAATTCACAATGTCTGACATCTAATCAAGTATTACAAGCATGTAAAGAAGCAGAAAAATGGACCCATATAAGGGTCAACCAATTGAAACCAACCCAGAGGTAGCACAGATATAAGAATCTGTCAAGAACATTAAAATAGTTTTATAACTGTATTCCATGTATTCAAATAGTTCAGTAGAGACATGAGAGATTTAAAAAATCAGACTTCCAGAAGTGAAAACTACAATGTCTGATATGAAAAAATACCCTGGATGATATTAATATCAGATTAGACATTACAGAAGAAAAGAATAGTGACCTTGAAGACATAGAAACAGAAGCTCATAAACCCCAAAAATGTCAACAAACTCCAAACATAAAAGGTATGAAGAAAATTACAAATTGTATACTAATCAAACTGTTTAAAATCAGTGATGAGAAATATCAGCCAGAGAAAAAAGGCATATCTTCTTTACAGGAATAAAGGAAGGATAGTAACAGGTTTCTTGTTAGGAACAATGTATAAGAGAAGGCAGTACAGCATCATCTTTAAAGTACTGAAAGTAAACAAACAAACAAAAACCTGTCAAAATAGAATTCTAGAACCAGATAAATTATCTTTCAAATTGAAGCATCATAAAACCTTTTCACATTCACAAGTCTGAAAGAATTCACAACCAGCAGACCCACACTACAAAAAAATCTTTAAAAAACTCCTTTAGTCAGAAGGTATATTATACCACATGAAATTATGCATCTACATAAGGGGTAGAAGTACACCAGAAATGGTAACTATATAATTTTACCATTATAACCATATAAGTATTCTTAATTATTTATAACTCTTTAATAGGTGACTCTTTAGACAAAAAATAATACATTGTATTATAGAGTTTTTAGCATATGTACAAGCAAATTATATGCCAACAACAGTACAAAAGCTAGAATGGAAGAAATGGAATTATGTTACTATATGGTTTTCATGTTATAAAATTCACTTGAGGGTGACTGTAATTAAAGATTATAATATAATCCCCAAAACTTTTAATTTTAAAAAAGTTATAGATAATAAGTACACAAAGAAGATAAAATGAAAGCATAAGACTACTCAATTTATCCCAAAGAAGGCAGAAAATTAGAAAAATGGGAACAAAGAACAGATGGGACAAATAGAAAACAAAATAGCAAGATGATAAATTTTAACCCAACCATATTAATAATCATATTAAAATAAAAGATGTAAATACCCTCAACTAAATGGCAGAGACAATCAACACCATTTGTCATTTTAGAAATACAAATTGAAAATACAATGAAATACCTCTACACACCTATTAGAATAATGAAAATTAAAACCAAACAACAAAACTGGTGAAAGTATAGCTTTCAGTGCAAGAGTGCAATGGAACTCTGAATGCCTGTAGGAATGCAAAATGTACAATCACTTTGGAAAGCAGTCTGACAGTTTCTTATAGTTAAACATACACTTACAATATGACCTGGAAATCTCACCTATAGGTATTTATTCAAGAGATATGAAAACTTATATTCACATGAAAACCTTCATGCAAATGTCAGCTTTATTCATAGACTATCAAAAACTGTGAATAAACCGTATGTCCCCCAACTGGTGAATGGATAAACAAACTTGCATCCACACAATAGAATATCATTCATCTATAACATCCTATTGATATAAGCCACAACATGGATGAATTTTAAATGTATGAAGCTAAGTGAAAAGAAGTCATACTTAAAAGGCTACATACTATATGATTCCACTTATATAATGTTTTGGAAAAGGCAAAATTAGGTACAGTGGTTGCCAGGGAGTAGGAATGGGGAATGGAGTTGAAAATAAAGGGGCAGCATAAGGCAGTTTCTGTGATTGATAGATACGTTCTGTCTCTTGGTTCTGTCTCTCGGTGGTTACATGTTTCTATGAATTTACCAAAACTCATAGAACTGTATGCCAAAAAAGAGTATGTTTTACTGTTAAGCTTTTAAAAGTAGCTGTCATACAACTTTTTTTCAGGAAGGCATACCAGGTTGCCTCCACTATGATTCCTCTCAGTCCTTAAATTCAAAGGCTCTGCTCTAACTGGAAAAAACTGGAGGGAGAACTATGTTGTAGTCTCTATCACAGTTTGTTACAGAAAGACAATTACTGGTTGAGTGCTTACACAGTTTAATATGGACCATAAGGCATTGCATTTTTATAACTCACATTCCTAACAATTTGGCAGTGCTAATTCTCATTAATTGCACATTATCTGTATGGACAGATCTAAATAGGAAAAGCAACTAAATGGTTATGACAATTATCCAGGTAATGACATTGAAAGCATACATTTCATCCAAGTATCTGTTAGTATCCTCAGCCAGCAAGGAAAGTTGAGTTTTGCTAAATATCCACAAAATGTATTTTAGTTCCTTTTTTTCCTGAGTAGAAAAAAAAATTACATCTAAATTTTGTAAATTTAGTAAATTTTCATAGTCTACCCACTATCTAGATTTCAAATAAAAATTAAAATTACATGTATGTTTATTTTTGCTCTGTAGCATACCTCTATGACTTCACTCTATTTCTTAATTAATGAATGAGTTTTATATAATGTTTGCTTCTCTATGTAAAACATAATGAAGATAATGAGTCAAATATGACAGTGGTCACATCTGTCTGCCTTCCCTTGCCCACTATAATAAGTCACTTAAAAAAGAGAAATGCATGGAGACAGCAATGGCTATCTGTGTGCAGACTCACCAACATTCTGTATAAAGGTGTGAACATCATGTGGTGAGGTGAAAGATTTGAAAATATTCTTGAAAAGTGCATACACAGTCAGTGTTTATGATAAGTAAACACTGGGAAACAAATGAAGTACCCAAAAATAAAGGAAAAATTAAGCTGAATATTCTACAAAAGATGGAATATAATGGCAGCCATCACTTATGGTTAGAAAGAGAAAATCGCTTATAACCAGATCCATGATGTTGCACAGCTTCAAGTACACTATGTTTATATTGTTATCTATGTGAACAGTGAGCCTTGAAGCTATTGCAGTGAAGAAAATGCATGATTCTTCACAGATTTGAATGATAAGAGGAGTATCTAGCCCTGACATTGCCCATATATGCATTGAGTAGATTCTTGGTTCCTTTTCCTGTCCACATGTATGGAATTAAATTTCTCTTTCTCATCTTAAGTTTGAGTGCTGTTGTTTTGTGTACGGAGATTCTAGCTAAATTTCTGGTGTCTGGTCAAGACTTACATTACATGCTTTTCCCATACTGTGGAGAAAACTGTTTCTCTTTTCAGGTATGATATATGGGTGAGAAGACCTTATTCCTGGACAATAACGAACTCTTCACATCTAAATTCCAGAAACAGAGAATGTAAAACTACAACCTCTAAATTTCTCTGTCCAAACTCACCTTCCTTATTCTCAGAGAGGCATTCATGGAAGAGAATAAGAGAATATGATTGTGTAACAACCCTGGCCTCTTTCACATCTAGCTTTTGGTAACTATAAAAATACAGTTCACCTTTAAACATGTGGGGGCTTGGGTACAGACCTCCCTGCATAGTTGAAAATTTGTATATAACTTTTGACTCCCCCAAAACTTAACTGCTAATAGCTTACTTTTGACCGGAAGGCTTACTGATAACATAAACAGTCTATTAACACATATTTTGCATGTTATATGTATTACATACTGTATTCTTATATTAAAGTAAGCGAGAGAAAATAGAATAATAGGAAAATCATAAAGGAAAGAAAATATGTACATATTATGCATTCATGACATACCTAACTTTTAAAAACTTGGTATTGCTAGGCTGTGTGGTTCGTCTGAGAGGTTTTTCAAATCATCGCAAATCTTTAAAAATTTTTCCAATATATTTATACCCATGTATGAGTGGATCTATGCAGTTCAAATCTTTAGTTCTTCAAACAGTTAGGCCCCTTAACTGTCCTCTCTCTCTCTCTCTCTCTCTCTGACATATTTTGTCAGGGAAGGATGTTGCTAATATTCTTAACTGAAAATATATTTTGGTATTTTTGTAAGTATTTCAATCAAAGGAAAAGTGAAATTACCCCTAGATTTCTTTTCATTATAATGATATCTTTCTTACTGACCTTTGAATGACTAAATATTCATATACCAAAAGTTACAAAATAATTTACCCTTCAAAGAGTTTTCCCAGTTCTCCTATTGATATAAACCTCACCTAAATGAATATTCTTATTATTATTTTTATTCTCTAAAAATTCTTACTTACTAAGTTCAACATTCATGGAAAGGGCAATTAGAAAGTCAAATATATAAATACAGGAACATAAAGAGAAATAAAGATGAAATGCTGCAATCAACTAAAGAAGAGAGATTTCTAGCAATCTATAAAACCCATTGCTTTGAGCTCTCAGTTATTGCTCACTGTTGGAACAACTCACATACCCAAACTGACAGCTGATCAACTCCTTAAAGAGATCATAGTGGTTCTTAGTGCTTTCACAGGGTGTTTTGTGGAAATATGAATTCTGCTATGGTGAACATGTACATCAATATCATGAGGACAAGGATAGTGGGAAAACCTCTTTGGTTGTGAGGACATGAAACTAAGAAGAACATATTAAATAGGCTAAAAACAAACAACAAAAAAGTTCTGTTAGAGCCTATCATCTTTAAGAAAATGGTCCCTACACAGTAATGATGATGTCACATTTTTTTTGGAATGGAAATATTTGTGATATAGACAGGCAACTGTAAAATTAAAATGTAGAGTCAGATTCTCCTCCTGCTGTTATGTATATTTGCTAGAGCCTCGCTCCTGTCAGTATATTCCTGGGGTTGAATCTCCAGTGATCTGTAGAATCTTAGATACAGCAGTTGAAAATGGAATTTATTTTTCTTTTCAAATAAAGGGTAATAAAATTGGGTAAAATAAGAAATCATTAAAAGTCATCATCTCTATCTATCTTCTGAGACCACATATCTCATTATGAAGTTTTGAGCTATTGAACCTCATCTAAAGGATTGTACAAAAGGACTCTGAACCACTATGTAAATATATATACATGTATATATAAGAAATTATCATTATTGTATTATTATATAAGAAATTATGATAAACTTCTAAGTCAGTAATTTGTCTTACTTTTTTCATTTTTGTTATGTCTTATAAAGTAATTGTGTGTGTTTTTTTCCTTGCTTGGGTAATGTGATTCCAAATGAATCTCATCCAAACCCTCCCCAAAATGCATTTTGTACCTTTTAAATGACTAATAAAATATAATTTGAAATACACAACAAACAGATATTTGAGTACACAAATTCTTAAAAACCATTCCTATGCAAAATAATATTTTTTTAAGTTTAAAAGACAACATATTGATATAAAAATTTAGTTTTCTTACCTTTCTGGATATGTAAGTGATTTTAGCATGAGACGCTGGATGCTGTATTTGCATGTGGAACACTGCTGATTTGAGCTCTGATAATATGCCAAACCAATACGTGAAATATTTACATCATTTAAAAATTGAGCAAGAATCTTGACTTCTTGAAGTTTATAAAATGATTTGTTCTTCCTAAAAAGAAAATTTGGTATACTCAGCCTATTAGCAATTTGAAATATAATTAAACTCTAAAATCAATCTTAACAATATAGAGAGGCCAAGCTTACAGAAAAAAAGACCAAACAATAAATATTTGTTACTTATTAAAATAATTTAAACAGTTTTGTTTAAAACAAAATAAGATAATAATATTTGTACCTCCATATACAATATTTTGGGAATATTTTTGGGGAAAAAAAAGTGGGACATCTTATCTTTCTGACTAGATGTTTAGATTGTTCATTTGTCTGAAATTAGAGAAGTCATGGTATGCTTCTTTTTTTTAGATCCCTAAACAACTATCACAGTTCCTTAAATAGACTGGGTACACAAATAGTAATCCTTTGTTCTGTGCCACTTTGTCAAATATTTGTGAATTAAAGGAATGATTATAAAAGGCTGAGATTTAAGAGAAAAAAAGTAAAGGTAGTATTTAATAAGTACAATTTTCTGAGCATTCACAATGTACCCAGAACTGATCCACTCCAACGATTTCAAATGCCAACTGTTTGCTTTTAATGATGAAATCTCTGCCTCCAACTGAGCTCTGTTTGCTGAGATCCAGACATATATATCCACTGTTATTCACCATGTCTATTCGGATATCTCAAGAATGCTTAAAGCTCAGTAGGTTCAAATCTAAATAGCATCTTCCCCAAGACTTGTCTCTCACCAAAACAAACAAACAAACAAACAAACACCCCTAAAATTTACAAATTTCCTTACCATTTTAAATGGTGGCACCACCTTTGCTAAAGACAGACAGCTATGATTCACCTTTAATATTATTCTCTTTTTCAATCCCCACATCTGATCTATCATAAATTTCTACTAACTTTACTTATGAAATATCGTGAATCTGCTTTGAATTCATCCTTATATTTCCATCTCCATTGGAAACACTATCCTAGGACATCATTTTTTCTTGCCCATATTTTCTAGCAACCGCACCATGTCTTTTTCTCCAATCCACTGTGGTCAAATTGTTTTTCCAAAATAAAAATCCAGTCTTGGCCCCAACCAGATTGCCTCAACTAAAACACTTCAGTGGTTTTCATCTGCCCAGTGAATAAAATATAATTCCTGAAATATGTCCTACAAGTTCTAGTTCCTACAAAAAAAATTGGTGACTCTATTTCTCTCATCTCTTCTTATATTCCTGACTCTATTCTCATACATAATGTACTTCCTTTAGTTCCTGAAATTGACTATGTTCTCTTGTCTTCAGTATCTTTGTCTGTGTTGGCCTCTACCTGGAATACAGCAAAGGAAACGAAATCCAGCTCATCACTTAGGTCTCAATTAACATAAAATGTCCTTAAAGAAACTTTTAGTGACCATCCTCCTAACTAATTCACATCATTAATTTTATGTTTCCTTACACACTATAATTTGCATCAAAAACTAGACAGATTTTATTTACATATTTTTATAATTATTTGATTACCTTTATATCTTTCATTAGACTAAGTTTAATGAGGGTAGAATCATGTCTGTTGTTCTCATCACAGTATCCTCAGCACTTATACAGTGTCTAGCTTAATGTAGATAGTCATTAAAATGTGTTTGAATAGAGAAATGACAATATTTTATTTGCATTATATATTTATAAAGTCTATCTGCTACACTAGACAAATTATGTAAAAACAGAAATCTGATTTGTCCAAAATTTTATCCCCTAGTTTTAGTGCAGTTTCTGGCCTACAGAAACTCTCAAGAATTTTTACTGCATGATTAACTTCATTCCTCTCCATGTATCTCCTAGCTCAGCAAATGGCACCATAAACAGTCATCAAGCTTAAAATTTGAAGTCACTCTAGATTTTTTTTTATCCTTATTGAAGCTTTATTCCCTTTGATAATTAAGTGGATTAGTCAAACTCCTTGACATCCTAAAAACCCACTTCCACTTACTTGGTTCATGCTCACATCTTCTTTCATATCAATTATTACAATAGCCTCCTCTCTGGACTTGTTCCTCTCTAATCTCCTCAGTACTCATCTATCTAAAACTTATTGTAACCCGGATATCCAATATTGGTGCCCCTTGTTTAAAAATTCTATATTAGCATATTAATATATTTTGCATCATGTTATAATGTGTAAGTGATTTCTGATGATTGAGAGAATTGATCATGCTATAGCATTTATATAAAATAAGTATGCAGAATACATTTGCAATAAGATGCTAATATTGTTAAATAAAAAAATAATGGGGCACAGGGGCACACACAAGGAGAAGTTATAGGAAGAAAAAGAGAAGGTGGAGGAGGAAAAAGAAATGTATTCTGCATACTTATTTTATATAAATGCTAAATAAAAAAATAATGGGGCACAGGGGCACACATAAGGAGAAGTCATAGGAAGAAAAAGAGAAGGTGGAGGAGGAAAAAAAGAGGAGGAATGTTTAGAAACCAAATGGTAACTGTGACTATCCCTAGATGATGTAATTATAGATGATTCTCATTTTCTACTGTATAATATAACACATCTTTTGCAGCAAGCAACCATTCCTATTTTAATCTTAGAAAGCTAAATAAGAGATCACTTAAAAGTTTCTGACTTCCCTGGCACCTAAAACAGTTTAAATCCCACAACATGACTAAATTTATTAGCAAAGAATTATTAATAGAAACATAAAGCCATCAGCCAGGCTTAGATGGACAGATTTGCCATGGGTATGTCTTCCATATTTTACAACCCTTTCTGAAAAATGCACTAATTCAAGTATTTGAATAAAATGAATAAATATTTTATGGTGCTCTGCATAGACCATGATGTTTGTAAAGGAAATCAAGACTCACAATTCCTTTGCCTTCTGAACAATTTTGGAACAACTGGTCTAGGACTGCAGTCTGTGTGCAATTACTGAAATCAGGTACTTTCCTATCTCCATGCCTTTGAAATAGTCCTGGATAGAAAATGTACACTATTTGGATTATCTTCCAAAGTGGATGCTCAAGAAAATATACATTTAATTTATAAAAGAAAAAAATACTAAATTATACTTACTCATAGAGCCTTGGCTTTTCAATCACTCCAAGATGGTTTAATAATTTAAAGGTAATATAGCCATCCTTCATAGTGTTATTCAAAACAATTATACTGAGAACAAAATAATAGGCTGCAAAACAAAAATACAGAATGCAACTCATATTTTAAAAAATTTGTTTTGGTACATATGCAGATACACATGTATTTATATAATATATAATCTAGGCACATATTAGATATGCAAATAATATCAAGAGATACTTATTTGGTACATTGGCAATATATTTTATTTCTTGTCAATTTTTAACTAGTCTTAAAAATGAAGAATGACAAAGCCTGGCAGGTAGTCATGGGTATAGTGAAGAGCTGGACAAATAATTAGTGAATATTAACTTTTCTGCAAACCAAAAAATTTCAAATTAAGTTCAACAATTTTTAAAATATCATGGCTAAGGTAAATATGATAAGGTTCCTTAATTACCTGATTAACAGTCCTAGCTAAATCTGCTTAACAAATATAATTCTCAATTTCACTGGTTGTTTAGGAATGATTATAAAATTAAATAATCCTAGACAGAGTGAGCTCATAGTAGTTCTTATTCAAAATGCCCATACTAAAAATTGATATAGTATATATTTCAGGGGCAACGATGCTGAACTCACCCCTATATTCAACATGTCTGGGCTATACAGAAAGTTCTGACTTTTTGTGAGTTTTTCCAAGTACTGTGCACCATCTCCTAGAAGACACTATATATAAACAATATGGGATGCATGAAATTTTCTTTTGAGAAATACATGTACTAAAATTATGCATGTTAGCTGTTAAATGTTGCTGCTAAACAGCCAAGAGTAACTTCTTGGCTTTTGCCTGACAGTACTACCTCAAATAAGGCAATGGATTTATGACTGTACAGCATCAATTTCTAACACAGGAGATGTAAAGGAACACTTCTTACTTTGAAGTGACTGCCCAGCTTTAGACAAAATATTTTGGTCCACCTCACTCAAAAAAGATGGGCGTTCAGACTTGCTCAGATGGTTTCTGTCAGCAAGACATATTGAGATGTTACAGAATATGCCCTCCTTCTGCTATAAGCACACAGAAATTCTGGATGTACAATAATCCATAAATTAAATATATGATCAAGCTCAGATGAAAAAGGGAAATATCAGGAGGTAGAAATAAAGAGAAATTAAAGTCGACTATAAGGCTATAAGAAGGACTGAAGCCCTGAATCCCAACGGGACTTGAGGACTCAGTGTAGCACGAAGACAGAGGCTTAAAATCCAACCTCCATGCTGGAACAGAAGACAGGATGCTAAGCAACAGAGTTGAAATAAAAATCCCTGTGTAGCTTCAGGGTCCTTAATTCTCTGCTTTGTCATTGAAAGAGGAACTTGGAAATTTCTTTCTTTTTGCTGTATGTGGATCTTAGATGGGAACAAAGTATTCTTCAAGACTAAATAAAACTCCCTGTAACATGAAATTTAAATTTATACTTGTCACTTGTTGAAGGACCCTCCCCACAATTTACATTAAAAATGATTCAGGGTTATGGGGGGAAAAAAATCCAACTTGCTCCGATGGGAGAATTTTAAAGAACTAACTGCTAAGAATTTTTTATATTAAAAGAAGACATGAATCTTTATTTTGAAATAGCACAAATATTTTTTCTTTAATTTTAAGAGAGACTTGGACTGATCATTGATACTCCAAAATGGTAATAACTCATGCATAGATGATAGATAGGTGGATAGATAGATAAATCTAACCAGAAGAAAACTATAGATATCTGTAGAAAACAATTATATTAACAATAAATGAAAAAGTAATTTATCTAAAAATAAAAGAATTAATATCCTCAAAGTTCTGAGCAAAAATAAGTCTCAGTGGAGAATTCTATCCTGAACTAATTTTACATTCTGGAGTAAGATAAAGATAAGGTCATTTTCAAGGAAACAAACAAATAGACTGAGAGGGACTACTACTGAAAAGTTACTATGATATATTTCAGCAAGATAGAAGTTAGACCCAAAAGGAAGAAATTATGGGGAGGACAGGGCAAGATAATAAGTAGAAAACTGAAAGTGGTAAGTACAAGTGAGCATTTGCTTTAACGATAATATCCATAATAAATATTGATCGTTAGATAAGTAAAATAAAATATTACAGAACATAATACTAAAGATAGAAAAGAAGATATGATTCAAAGGCTCTATGAGGCAAAACTTTGTGACAATCCAATAAAATAATCTGTGAGGCAAGAATCATTTTTATGTGTAAAGCAAAAAAGAAACAATGAAAGTATAACAATCCTGAACTTTAAGAAATAGAAAAATCTCATCAAAGAAATAGAAGCTATAAAAGAAAACAAAGTGGAAATTACATAAATAAAAATATAATAACAGATACAAAACTCAATAGATATGCTCAAAAATAGAGTGGTGATGACAGGATAGAAATGAGCGAACTTTAGGACACATCAATCTGCTACTCAGTCTGTGCAACAGAGAAAAAAGAGACTAATAAAAAATGAACAGAGACTAAAGGATCTGTGGAACTATAAAAAAAGATGTAATATTTGTGTTATCAGAGTGTCAGAAAGAGAGAAAAAAGTGTGAAGGTGAAAGAATTTTCAAAGAAATGATAGCTGAAAATTTTCTAAATTTGGTAAAGGAAAAAAACACACAGATTCAAGAAGCTAAGTGAATCTGGAACAAGATAAACCTAAAGAAATGCTCACCCAGACATAATTAAATTTCAGAAAACTAAAACTAAAAAATCTGGAAAGCAGAAAAAGAGAAATGATGCATTACCTACAGGAGAACACCAATTTGGGTCCCAATGGATTCCACATCTGAAATTATGGAGGCCAAAAGGAAGTGACACAACATTTTTCGAGTGCTAAAAGAAAAAACTCGACTCTGAATCTTATATCTAGCAAAACTAACCTTTGAGAACAAAGGAGTAATAAGGACATTCTCAGACAAAAGAAAACTAAAAGAATTTCTCCTTAGCAGACCCATTCTTAAATAGTAAGAAATTTCTTCAAACAGAAGGGTATTAATAAAGTAAATAATCTTGGAGCTTAAGAAATAAAGAGGGAACAATGAGAAGAGAAGATACATGGGTACATACAATAGATTATCTTTTTCTTTATGAATTTTATAAATTATATTTGATGATTGAAATAAAAATTATCACACAATCTGATGCTCAAGACTAACAATATGTAAAAGTGGAGAATGTAAAATGAATCTAAATGATGGTGAGTTTCCCACATTTCACTTGAAGTGGTAAAATCTTAATACCAGTAGAGTGTGAAAAATCACATATGTATATTGTAATTACAGTAAACCTCCCCAAATATGTCCATGTCCTAATTTCTGGAATCTGTTAATATGATACCTTAAATGGCAAAGGGTAATCAAGTTCTCAAATCGAATTAAGGTTGCTAGTCATCTGACCTTAAAACTGGAAGATAACTCTAAATTATCTGATTGGGCCCAATGTAATCACAAAGATTGCAATCACAAGGCCTTAAAAGTAGAAGAGGAAAACAGACTTAGAGAATCAGAAGAATAAATGTGATGCAGAAGAACGGTCATAGAAATGCAATGTGAGTACTCCACCCACCATTGTGGAGGTTGAGGCCACAAGCTAAGGACTGCAGATAGCCCCTAAAAGCTCAAAAAGTCAAGGCAACAGATTCTCCCCTGGAGCCTACAGAAATGAATGCAGTTCTGCTGACATCTTGATTTTACACAGCAATACTTGCTTCAGACTTCTGACCTACGACCTGTAAAATAATAGATTTGTGTGTTTTAAGCTGCTAAATTTGTGGTAATTCATTAAGACAGTGATAGAAAATTAATAGATTTTAGTATAAAGACTGCAATGATGCTATAACACTTAAAAATGAGGAAGTGGCTTTGAAATTAGTAATGAGCAGCAGTTGAAAGAATTTTGAAGAGCATGACAGAAAAACCTAGATTACCTTGAATATATTATCAGTACAAATGTAGATGTTAACAATTCTGCTAGTGAGGACTCAAAAGAAAGTGAGGCATGTGTTATTAGAAAATGAAAGAAAAGGTGTCCTTGCTATATAGCTGCAGAAAGCTGAGTGGAATTATGTCCTGAAGTCATGTGAAAAGCAGAAATTGTAAATACAAAAATAGGACATATAGCTAAGAGGATTTCCATGCAAGGGTTGAAAATGTGACCTTATTTCTTATTGGCATTTATGGTTAAGTGTAAAAGACATAAATTGAGATAAAAGTATGAAACAATAGCAAACCCTATCCTGATGATTTGAAAAACCCTCAATCTTACCAAGCCTGCAAAAGATACTAAAACTAAGAGGTTCACCATCAGGAAATCATGCTCTTGAGAGAAAGCTAGGAATGTGGCTAGATAACCTTTTGCCTCAGAAAGATAAAAGAGTCAAAGTATTCAGTAACACAAAGTCTCTTTGAAAAAATTAAGTGTATGACTCATAGATTCCTTCAGCTATCTCAGCAGAAGCCAAAAGTAAAGGTAGAATTAATGGTGAAAGATATTTTGAGGAGCCTCTTGTCTAATAGAATGAATCTCTGTGATACTTTTGGAGATCTACAAGGTTTTTGAGAATGTCATAGCCTCATAAATACTGCCAACTTGGACTGAAAGGGATGGAGACAGCACAGAATAAAAGAAGGTTGTGGGACCCCTCACAATTTTACATGCAAGATACGGGCTGATAAGACTATTCAGCTGTAAACATATTTGTAATTAAAATCTCCCTAAAACAAATCTTGAGGCCCAAGTGGTTGCAATGGAAAATTCTTCCAAACATTTAAAAGAGAATTAACACCAATTTTGCATAATATATTCCAAAAAATAATAGGAGAGAACACTTAATAACTCATTTTTATATGGCTGTGTTACTCTTGTATGAAGACAATATTATTCTTGAACATAGATACAAAGTCCTCAACAAAATATTAGCAAACCAAATCTAACAATACATAAAAAAATATTCACTATGACCAAAATGAGCTTTATTCAGGAACTCAAGACTGGCTCACATTCTAGAATCAATCAATGTAATCCAATATTTCAAAAATTTAAAGGAAAAAAAATCATATGATTATATAAATAACTAAAAAAAAAGCATTTGACAAAATCTAATACACGTTTATGAGAAAAACTCTTATCGAGTTAGGAACAGAAAGGAATTACTTCAACTTTATAAAGATCATCTACAAAAAACTTACTACTTTTTTTTTTTTGAGTTTTTGAGGACAAAGACAATTTTTATTAATACTTTAATTTTCCTTTCAGCTCCCTAAAGCAACGGTTGCATGCAGTAAGAGTTCGGTGAACCTGTTAAATAAATGCATATATGAAGAAATGAACAAGGCAGACCACCAAATGCATTTATGCATGCCTTTAGGGGCTTGTTAGCTCATGATATTATTTATGTCACACTCATGAGGTAAAAGATTAAATGCTTTCCCTTTAAGATTGGGAAGAAGGCAAGGTGTATGCTTTCACCATTGTTATTCAACACAGTACTGGGAGTACTAGCAACTGAAATAAGTCAAGAAAAAGAAATAAAAGACAAACAGATCAAAAAGAAAGAAAATAAAAGTTTCTCTATTTGTAAGTGACATGATTGTTACAAGAAAATTCCAAGAAATAATAAGTAAATTCAACAAGATCTTAGGAAATAAGTTTAATACAAAAGATTCAGTCCCATTTCTTTATACTAACAATGAACATGGAGGTATCAAAAATTTGAAATATCATTGACCATCACTAAAAAAGAAGTCAAATACTTTGTTATACACACTTAGAATCTGTATGCTGAAAATTACAAAATGCTGATGAAAAAAATCAAAGATTCAAAGTAAATGGAAAGACATAACATCTTCATGAATCAGAAGGTTTGATATGGAAAAGATATCAGTTTTCTCCAAACTGATCTATAGGTTAAATGTAATTCGTAACAAAATCCCAGTCAAGTTTTTGTAGACATAATCAATCTTATTTTAAATTTATATTGAAGGGCACATACCCTAGAATATCTAAAATAATCATGACAAAGAAGACTAAAGAAGAAATAATCACTCTATTGGCTATTAAGGTTTACTACATAGTTACAGCAATTAATACTATGTGGTATTAGAAAAAGGATAAACACATAAATCAATAAAATAGAGAACAAAATAAAGACCCAGTATAAATAAACCTAAACAAATATGCTTATCGTATTTTTGATAAAGATGCAAAAGAATTTCAATAAAGATAGCCTTTCAACAAATGGTGCTGAAGAAAATGGGCATCCATAGGCAAAAAAAAGTGAACCTCAAGCTAAAGCTCATATATTATACAAAAACTAGAATAAAATACATTACAGACATAAATGTAACACTTAAAATTATAAAACTTTTAGGAAATATTGTAGGAGAACATTGTAGGACCTATGGCTCAGCAGTGTTTGGACACAAAAGCATGTTCCATTAAAGGAAACAATGATAAATTGATATCGATAGTAAATACTTTTGCCCTTGCAAAAGTCCTTGTGAAGAACATTAAAAGACAGTTAAGTTACAGACTGAGAGAAAATATTTGCAAACCAAATATCCAATAAAGACTACTATCAAAAAAAATATAAAGAGAAAGGGCCCTCAAAATGTAACAGTTAAAAAAAATCAAATTGGAAAATGGACAAAAGACAAGAACACACATTTCACCAAAGAGAACATATGGAAAAGATATTCAATATCATAAACCATCAGGGCAATGAAATTTGAAAACCTCAAAAAGGTCTCACCATATGTTTATTAGAATGAATAAAAATTTTTAAATAATCACGACATCAAATCCTAGTTAGAAATCAGAGAAATTAGATCACTCATACTTTGCTGGGAGAAATGTAAAAATGGTACCACTATTATGAAAAACACAGTCAATTTCTTATAAGGCTAAATGTACAATTTGCTTCTTACATAGCAGTTGCATTCCTGGGCCTTTACAATGGATGAATGAAAACCTAAATTAATACAAAATCTTGTACACAAATATTCAGAGCAGCTATATTCATAATAGCCAAGCCTAAAAACATTCTAGTGTTCTTCAACAGATAGAGTAAACTGTAGTACACACATACTATGGAATACTGCTCAGCAATAAAAAAATTAATTATTAATACATGCTACAACATGGATGAACCTCCAGAGAATTATAATGAAAAAAAGACCAATTAAAAGGTTAAATACTTAATTATTCCCTTTATGTAACATTTTCAAAATAAAATTTTAGTAATGTATTAATGGATATCAGGGTTGGAAACAGCAGGATGAGAGGAGGTTAGTATATGTCTTTATAAAAGTGCCACCCAAGATATCCTCACGGTTATGGAACTGTTCAATATTTTCACTGTGGTGACAGATACATAGCTCTACATGTGTGATTAAATTGTACAGATCAACACAAACACATATGCACAGGAGTCCATGGGGACATATAAATAAGATGGGTGGATTGCATCAATGTCGATAACCTGGTAGTGGTATTATATTCTATAGTGTTGTGCAATTTTACCATTGAGGAAAACTAGATAAAGTGTACACAGGATCTCTTTGTATTATTTCTTATATCTGTATGTGAATCTAAATTTAACTCAATAAAAAATTTAATTTAAAAAATGGACAGGCCCAATTCTGGATTACAGAAAATATCGCTAATGTTTAAAGAATTACAATATCTTAAAATTGACAGCAACTGTGACAACAAAACATTGACAATAACTGACTTAAACATATTTTAAAATAAGATAATCTATATTAAATATTTATCCCCCAGTAACCAAGGTCAATGGTAGTGACTGGGAACTTTTCTAATAAGACTCTTCATAAAACAGAATTTACTTTTATTTATAAACCACTTCCAGTTTTTTATCTCAAAACAGGATAATTTTGCTTTTCTTACTAGCCCTTCATAAATTTAATTATTTAATACATTTCTAAAAGATTCTCTCTTGTTCTTTAAATTATTTCCTCTTGCCTAACTCTAAATATATTTGGAAGATTATTGTTTACCTGCACATTTTTAAAAAATTTATATAGTTTAGTTTCAGTTCCCAAAATAGTGATAACTGTATAGACAGATGTCCTAAATTCTGCAACCTGTTATATGCTGACATAACTCTAAGTGTAAGAAGAATAATCATGTAAATTTTGGGGGAAAAAACAAGGACTTTGATTGTATCTTTGGGAAAATATTACCCAATATATATGTTCATTTTTTCTAAAAAAATCAAGCCCTAATTTGAATTTGCACAAATAGCTCCAACAAATTTTAAAGTTTCTTAAAAGCGTATGATAAAATCAGAGTGGGTAGAAAGAACATTTTGGATAAAACATAAATTAGCTTTAAAACTAATCATTTGTTCATTTGTTAAAAAATGTTAACTTACTACAGAATGGATTTGTGCCGGTAGTATCCAAAAACACAGTCGTCCTAAGAGATTTTTCTAGTCTTTCTTTTAAAATATCTTTCCATAGCTCAGCTTGATAACCTGATTTGAGAAATGAAACCTTAGAAAATAGATTTCCATCAAATAACATACAAAAATTTCAAATTACTAAAGGAGCTAAAGTATCAATGTATAATAATAATAACAATATTTTTTCTTAATGGAATTTTACAACAAATTATTTTTCAAATAATTTCACATTTTATTTATTTTAATTATAATAATAACTGCTAAATTGAAGATTCACAAATAAATCCACTCCCTGGACATCTTATCAGAGCTTAGCATATTCTATATGGCTATAGTCCATTCGTAGAACTTATTATTGTATTATTAATTCAGAATTTTACCTGTAACTCTTTTTAGTAAATTTAGCAGGATTAGGTAAAACCTGAATACAAAACTTAGCTCCATGACCACAATCCCTATATATTTACAGATATATGGATATAATATGCATATGTATACTATATATAACATTGATAGCATCTACATATACTATATATTATGTATATAACATATATATCAGATATATACATTTATGTACATATAGAATAGGTATTATACACACACATATATATTTAAGATACTTCCCACTTCCTTTATTTGTCTGTTCCCACCTTGCTCCATCCAAATTTGAGATTAGAATATAGTAGAAAGAATACTTAACAGAATTCAGAAGTTTCATGCTAGTTCTCACTTGTGCCCTTAAGCAATCCATATGTTCACATTAGGTCACAATATTCTTATTTGCATGGAAAGGCGATGAGACCAGAAAAGCATTCCCTAGCATGAGGTCTGAAAAAAACTAATTCCACAGAATGTCTTGAGGACTGATGGGATCTACGGAAAAGTAAATCTGGCAAAGCCTGCATATGTCTGCCCCTCCTATGGATTTTCTGTGTAAGTTAATAAAAACCTCCCGCTGAAGAAAACTGCAGAAGGCTGTTTAATTCATTCAGCCTTTGTAACTGGTGCCCATTTCACCTAGCCCCTTTGACTTTGGAAACATTTCTGGCAGATCTTGTCAAGACACTGATCAGACATTTACAGGCTTATGACATGCTTGGGGTCTGGTATTCTCTTTAGAAAACCTTGAACAAACAGCCTCTGATATTCTTTCAAGCTCTAACATTCTATTTTTATGTGGAATCTATATGTGGTAATAGTTTTTTTTTCTCTAAATTTCTCACTGGCAGGCTTTAGTTATCAGAAGTTGTAATACTTAACTGCTCTTATCAAGCTTTATCGATTTTGAAAGTGTGAACCATATATGAGTCATGTCTACTTGCTAACAGCAAATAAAAAGCTCACTATGGTTCACATCTTTTCATTTGTTCTTAACACTTCCTGTTTAAAAACAACAACAACAACAACAACCCTCAGTGCTACTAAGAATACACAAGTCTCTTTCTTTAGTGGAAGTATGGATGGATGATAAATAGATAGTGAGATCCTTTTGAATATCAAGAAGAATAATCATCGTGAAACCAACAAATTTGCCCACTACACTGAGCATAGAAAAGGAGTTGATCAAGTTCCCCTCACTAAATATATTTCAAATATTTAATAGGAAATGCATAATGTTCTCTAATTGCCCCACAGATTTTTTTTTTCTATAAAATGTTGACATATTCACAAATAAATACAAAAGCTTCCAACAGAAAATACCAAGACGATTATATCATTCATTTTCCACAAAGAATTATAGTAATTATAATGATCTCTCTTACCTAGCCTAGGACATGATTTTTTCTTAAAGTCATCACAATCCACACATGAACCAGTTTTGTAATCTCCATATGAATAACAAGGAAGTGAAATAAAATTGCAGTTTGTTTCCAAAGTGGCCATGAACAAGTAAACTGCTCTCTGGTGGTCACATTTGATAAATTGTACTCCTAAAGTGTTAAAAAATCAAACAAAAGAGTTGTGGATATATTAAAGCAAGTTCAAGTAAATTAGAGAAAAATTAAAGATTAAGTTCTGCTCAATACTTTTCTGTGTTTTATGAATATTAAAGTGTTGACTACAATGCACAGTATTACCCCAAGCAACTAAAGAAATCATACCACTGAAAACTTAAATTCCATATTCCTTTTATCTGATATTTATAATAATTTTTTAATAATTAATATGGCAAAAACATTTAATTTCAATAATTTAACAACTTCTCCAAACACAGTGTTAGCATACTTAGTATACACATCTCTCCCTTCTCATTCCACACTGTTAACATCTCTACTCAATGTCAGAAATGACTATGGAACTGGGTGACGTTAAAACTTTATCATGTCCCTTTCCTTTCCAACTTCTATCATGTCCAACTTCTCACATCCTTATCTCTTTGGCCAAACTTCTCTAGCTGCAGTGGCCTTTAGCGATGTGCTAAATGACCAGCTGCCACTGTAGAACTCAGAGTATTTCTCATCACGGCTCTGAAGTGATCCAAACTCCATACCTGGAGCTATTTATGTGTAAAACAAAATTTATGTGCAAGAGTTTATAAATCTGCATTTGTCCAGTACTATGGTGATGGTAAAATCCTGATTAAATCCTGAGACCAAACTTTTGTGATATGATACTTGGCTATATGTGCTTCTTCAATGACTCATAACTTCCCCTAATGTTTAAAATTATGAACCAAAACTGCTAAAACTGTGAAGTAATAGATCTCATCCAGGAACAAATGTGATGTCTACTGGTAACCTTTATAAACTGAAAAGGATCAAATTAAACTACTTTTCACCAGTAACACCCGAGAATCCTGGGCAGTGATGTTCAGAATCTTGCCCACAAATTAAGAGGAAAAAATAAATTGATTTTCTTTCATCATTTTGAATCACATGTAATTTATTCAAAAATACTATTGGTATACCTGAGAATATTGATTTAGGACAGCCAGGTTGTGTTTTTCCTCCATTTGGATAAAAATCAATATGTCCCAAGGGTTCTTTAATGCCTAAACCTGAGAAGAAAATTACCCAAGAATCACAAAGTATGTATAATCAGATCAGCAACACTTGTATGAAACAAAATCTTCTACAAAATCCACTGACAGTGACTCTTAAAATGTGAATTGAAAATAAATAAATGCAATTTTTCAAGAGATGAGTTTTTCTGGTACTAATTCCTCAAATTAATTCCTTATAAAAAATATGTTTCATTAATTTAACATATCTACCAGTCACCAGTGTACTATGGGCCCGTCAAATTTCTTCATGCTATAAATATATACACAAAAAAGAAAAGTGGAGCTAAAACCCTATTGTAGTAGAAATTACGTTCCAGTGGAAGGAAGCCATAATTAACAAGTAAAAATACAGTATGTCAGATAATAAGTGCTATAGGAAAAATTAATTAAACAGAATGAGGGAACACTAAATCACTAGTAAGGATAGTAGGTTGCACTTTTAAAGAATTTAGTTAGAAAATTTCCCAGTGAGGAGGTGACAGTTGAACAAAGACGTGGATGAGGCAGTGAGCAAAGTAGATAACTGTGTGATTATGCCTGCGGTACTTAAAAAAGCCAGGATAGCTAGAGCATAATGCTTAAGAGGGAGCATTGGAGGGAATAAAGCCAAATTATATAGGACCTTTTAGGCAAGTGTATGAGTTGCTCACTTTCAGGATAATAATGCCTAGGGCTTAGTGCTAGATTCATGAATTGGAAAAATGTCTAAATATGCTGCTTCGGCTGGAACAAGTTGGGCCAGAGTGATACGAAATATGTAGCTATGATTTAAGGGCTTCGGTATATCTGTAGGTCGTTGGGGCACTAGGAAAGGTGCAAATTCTGGGTCCATTACCAATATGGGGTCTATAACCCAGGGGAGCTATAAGAATAAAAGAGGGTAGCAAGCTCAGAATACTCAGGACTGTGATTAGATATAAAATCTTACTGCCAAGTAGGATTGTAATGCTTTGGCTTGCAGTGTAAAAGATTTCCTACAACATAATGAACTCTTGAGAAAGGTCGGTAATAGATTTAGCATAACGAATATATAAATAAATAAGTGCAAATATATATATATATATAGATTTATATATATAGTATATATATATACTTGGATCTGACAGTAAGGATTAAAATGCAACAATCTGCTTAAATTTTAGTACATAACAGAACAAGTTAACAGCTAGTGAGGTGTTCCCAAGGCAGGAAAACATGGGGGAGAGGGTTCAGTGTGCAAGGAAAGACAAAGGACAACTCAGATGACTTCATTAGAACTCTCTAGGATTCACTGTATAATGCATGACTTGATTGTGACAGTGGTGAGGGTATGCTAATCCATCCCACCTTACATTCCATCATTTATCTCCTAACTTGTGGAATCTAAGCAAGGAAAAACAATTCTCTAAATATGAGCAAAACAAACGAACAAACAAAAACCTCCAGTAATTTTGGAAATCTTTAAAATTCCCTTGTATCTGAACTCAGCATGAAGTTCCAAGACTAAGGGTTCCACGTTTAGAGCCATCATTTTCTCCAATCTGCTACTGAATTAGAATCAAACCAAGAAGACTGCTCAGGAATCAGGGAGAAGCAAAGATATTTATTATTAACTTACAAGCAGCCCTTGATTCAGGCATTTCATTTCCCTTTTATCAGATGGAGGGGGCAGGGCAGCTTGGTCTGCTTAGGTCATTCATTCATTCTCTTGGTTTCAAGAAGGGCGGGTAGAGCAGATATGACTTTTTAATTTTCTTTTTATTATAAGATAAAACATATACATGCAGAAAAGAACATAAAACATGATGCTAATGATTATTTATTATAAATCAGCCAATTAGCTACCATACTCACATCAAGAAATAGCACCTAGAAGCCCCTAAAATGCCTTTATCCAATCACTAGCTTTTCTAAAAAAACAAATAAAAATTTTGTCTTTTAATAAAATCATTTATTTTGCTATTCTTTACTTTCTAGGGATGCCTCCCAAAATATAGTTTAGATTTGCCCTTTTTGAAAATATATATAAATTGACACATATTTCATGTATGCATTTGTGTCTGCCTTTAGGTTATTAGTATATTAGTAATCTTAATACATATTATCAGGTGAATATATAGTGTCGAAAATCACTGATCCTCATTTGTCATAAAAAGATGTATCAAAGGTGCCAACTACATGTCATCTAGTGGCAGCTTAGATCTGACAGTCTGAGTCATCAAAAGATACTGAGAGTACAGTTGATGCACTGTATCTGTGGGTTTCACATCCACAGATTCAACCGAGGATCAAAAATATTTGGGAAAAAATGTTACATTGTTGCCAACATGTACTACATAGTTAGGCTTGTGATGGCTGAATACTTACTGAACATATATAGACTTTTTTTTCTTGTCATTCTCTAAACAATACAGTATCACAACTATTTACACAGCATTTATATTGTATTAACTATAAGTAATCTAGAAGTGATTTAAAGTTTACAGGAGGAGGATGTGCATAGGTTATAGGCAAAATGAGGAACTTGAATATCTGTGAATTTGGGTATCTGTGGGGGTCCTGGAAGCAATGCCTTGTGGATACCAAGAGATGACTGTATGAGACAATCCAAAAGAGTTTATTAGGAAAAGTAAAAAATGCAAACAAAAATACTAAAAAGTGTGAAGGGGCTAATTCAAATGGCCAAAGGCAGAATTGAAATTAGGATTTCAGAAAGAAGACTTCAGACAAAGAACTGCAGAGTAATTGGGCAGTAGGTATGCTGTGTGGTTATCTATACAAAATTATTGGTATAGATAACCACGAGGTAAATTCAGAAGAACATGGGAATAAATAAATTACCTAGATCAAAGAAAAAATAAACCTGGGGAAATAGGGAAATAAGGGCAGTCTGAGCATCACTTCTTTTAGTCTCTATCTTAGCATCATATCCTCCCTTGCCCACAACCACAACACACGCTAATCAGAGCAACATACTGGTGAAATGTGGACTCCATAATCAAAAGATATGATTTCCAGTTCTGGCTCTGCCACTTACTGGCCTTGTGACCCTGATCTCGGCTTCCCCACGGGTAAAATGTAGATGATATTATGTTTACTTATCTGATGATGACTTAGAAGAATTCCATAATTAACACATAAAGCACTTAAAACATTGCCTGATATATAGGAAGTGCTCAATAAATATTAGTATCATCAGTTTCAAATCAGGAGGAGATCAGGGCTGTCTAAATTATTCCTTGAAAGTGTCTGTCCAATATATTCTAGCTCAAATTATCAAAAGTCTATTAGACATTTTCAGGAAGATTATTAAAAACAATAGAGAAATTATTTCCCTACCTCTAGGAAAAGATATTCTCTATCTGTGCCTGAATTGCTGTGCTCAGTTCTAGTTGATATATATCACAGCAGAAAAATTAGTGGAGAGAATGATAAGCTAAACACATCAGTAACATTAAGCATGGGGGAAATTGCAATCATATCAATAAAACTGTCAATAGCAGGGACAATATAAAGTATTGTTTTTATCAAATTTGAGTGTTGTATGATGACATAACAGTTCTTGAAACCTAAAAAATGGCAAAGAGAGCCATTTAATACCACAGGATCTCATGAACTCCAAAAATATTGTTTGTGGGAAATATAATCACTATACAATTATAGATTTATCATCACTGTATCCACTACTGTTTCTCTTCTTACATTTTCTTCTTCCTGAATATCTACATCTCTTTTTTAATTTTTATATAATTACACAATAAATCCTGCATTTTTACCATTGGTATCAGAATGGATGACATCCACAAACTTTGCATCGGTATAATCTAATCTGCCATTTGATGGTTTTCCAGAGAATTTTGGCCCAGCAGGGTCAAGACCTGAAATTCAAGAAAGAAACTATCAATCTATTAAACAAGTCCTACTCTAGTGATCGTTAGATCATATGCTTGCATTATTATTACATCATAAACATAATAAGCCTGTACAGTTTAGGCTTAAACCTGTCTAAAAACAAATCTGAAGATGAATAGAATTGCATGAATAGCAAGTATCTGCATTATTTAAATAATACTTTTTACCAACTTTCAGAGATTATCAACAATCTAGTGTTAAGACACACTAGAGATGCCTCAACAATATATTGTAGGTTTTTTTAGTATTTCATTTAAGAAGTAATTAGAAATATATTAGAAATATACTGGTAGAATTTTAATAATAAAAAAAGCATTTGGGCTGTGGGATAAAGGATAGTTATTACTGTTTTATATTTGAATATATTTATTTATCATTCATTTCTTATAAAAGTTACTACATAAGAAAAATATATTAAAAGTTCCAGGGAATATAGATATAGTTCTGGTATATTTATAATTCTAAATAAAAATTTTAGGCTCGTGACCTACTGAAGCATGTCAAAAAAAGGAGGGTGGAGATAAAATTCAGCGTCTTGAGACCATCTAAGCAGTGGAAGAAACCATCATCTTAAAAAGATATTTAAACAAGTAAAATATATGTTGCTCATCTCAGGCTCTTCTATTTCCCTATTTAGCCTACTTACTGAATGAGGCAGAAACTTCTCTCTTCTTATACATATTCTCATGTAGAACCACCACATTTTCTGGCCTTGTAAACCTACATGATTGCTTGGCATGTGGAGCCATTCAAATTAGACTAATATGTAAGTAAGCACATCTTAAAATAAGGTAGGGCACCAGCAGTTTAAACTAAGCTAGTGTGCTGATTGCAGGAAAATGGGCTTTGGGTGCTAGTGACCTTTGCGTAAATCCTGGCTTAGCTGTTACTAATTTTTTTACCTTTCCACATTCGTTCAGTTAACATCAGTTTTCACATCTGTATAATGGGGAAAATATTAAAACAGATCGAAATAAGGTATACTAAAGGTTTGTAAAGGTCCTAACTATCTGTACAAGTTATTCACCTTTTCCCTTCCTCCTTTGCTTAACTAAAAACTCTATTGCCTTTTATTTACACTTAAAATTATTATAAATCTTTTTTGGACATGGATTTCTATAAGTTTTAAAAAGCTAAATTGGTTGGTAGGGATACTGTCCTTCTAGTTCTAAAATCACCACCATTCATAAAGTGAAGCGAGAAAAATCTGTATCAGCATTATGTGGTTATTAAGCATATTGGCTGCTCCCGTGAACTTTGTTAAAGAAATGTGAGGGGACCTAGGATCCAGAACTCCTTAAGCTTGGATACCAAGTTCTTATTTTCTCTTCAGGCATTCAAGTAAAATTTTTAAAAGAATTGAAATACATCCAAGTTTATGAAAATTAAATACATGTTTATATTTTTAGTTAATACATAAAAAAAGTTTTATATTTAATGAGCCAAATTTTTCTCCAGATTGTTATAATAATGTGCCCTTAAAATTCACATAGGGCTGCAGAAATTGATCTGTTTCTTTCCAATTCTATAAGGGTAAGTTAGCTCAAGAACTAATCAAGACTCTAAAGTCTAACTAAAACAAAGACTAGAATTTGAATATAATATAGAAAAAAATAAGTGTGTACATCATTTCTATTGCTTAATTATTGTACCTATTAAATTTTAAATAAAGTAATTTCTGATGCTTAACAGTAAGCCAAAACATTAATTTTATCAAAAACATTTTACCTGTTATTCTTCCAAGTTGACCATGAAATATCTTTCCAACAAATCCACTAATATGAGCCCCTAAGCTCATACCTATGAAATGAAAACTATCAAGAGTTGCTCCATGCTTCTGCAATTAAAAATGCAGTTACAATTTCATTTCAGACAGTCACAAATTATACTTTGTGCATCAATATTCTAAAATGTGTTAGTTTTTCTAGCTTAATCCATTTCTGGGAGATAGAGAATGGAATTTTACAATTTCAAAACAACTACATCTTTGCTCAACTTTTCCATAAGATATCTGATTTTTCTCTCTATATTTTTAATTCCATTAAATTTTTATTTAAAAATTTAAAAACCTTTGTCATCTATTATCTAGAATAGTATATGCTAAATAATACATTTAATTAGTAAATCATTTTATTTTATAACAATAATATTGGGTACTTACTTTGTACTAGCTACCTTGATCAGGACTTTATAAATTTCATATTTAATATCACAATATTATAGTATTATGAATCATTTATTTTTACCCTAGTGCCTAAAACTGTTCCTGGAATCTATTAAACACTGAATAAATATGGTTTAATAATGAGTTGCCCAAAGTCACATATACTTATTACTATAAGGGAAAAAGACAGACTTCAAGTACACATTGGCTTATTTTATCTGATCAGACTGTGTCAAAACTTCTTGGAAGACTGAACAGTGTGAATAATCATCCTCACTTCAGAGATGATAAAATGAGACTCATGGATTTAAAGTGATTTTCCCGGATAACAAGCTGAAGAGTGATGGAGTCCGATCTTTCAAGCCTAAGTTTTGAATATCTCTCAGTGTCTCACTCTTCCCACCCCTGGGCATTAGGAGCTTAAATGAGGAAGGATTTCTTCATCCGCACTCTTAGGAAGCAAGTTACATGTACGGGACACATTACATGGCTTGTGGAAAGATATGTTGCATTTACTGCTAATGAAAAACTAGACCCAGGCTTTCCAAACACAGGGTGATAATTTTTCTTTAAAATTTTCAGAGCAATGACCAGAAACTTTGGCGAGTATTATTTCAACTTTAGTGCCACTGATCTTTTCATCCCTTTTACATAATATGAAACTTTGCAAGCAAAGGCATTCTTAGAAATTTATCTAACACTACAAATTTTCCTCAATTTTTCTATTTAACATTTACATTTTCCATATTCGAATACATGTTAACTAGTTAGAGAAAAAAACACGGGTATAAGGAAAAGTAAATTATTCAATTTATAGACTATTGGTAAGAACAGGTATATCAGTTACCTTCTCTATCTCTCTAGAGGGATGGTTGGTTTTGCCCATAATTGAGATTATAAAAATAATAATGAAGGCTGATTTTATTCAATGATTATTATATTCCAGGCACTGGTTAAGAATTAATTTTATTTAATATTAAATATTGTTTTAAAGTTTTGTTAGTCCAAATATATAGATAAAGAAATGAGGCAGAGAAGTGCTCAGTTGGTCTTTGAACTCCTCCAGCCTGACCTTTTTCTTTGTGTATGATTTAAAAATATATTATTATTATTATTTTTTTTTACTGTGACATTGGTTAACGAAATCCAATAAGTTTCAGCTGTACACTTTAACAGTAAGGCATATGTATATTTATGCTGTGTGTTCACGTACCATAGTTAGATTTCTTTCTGTCACCACATATTTGACCCCCTTTACCCCATCTATCTCCCCACTCCTTCCACAGCCTGACTCTTAAATACTATGTGTAACTACATCTTGGATGTATTATGCTTGCTCAATTTCAGCAGAGGCTTGAAAGTTAAGCACAATGTAAATCAAAGGCAGATTTAATACCAAATTAGATATTGCCCTTCTTTCTGTTGAGCTTCCATCATCACCACCTCTCTTTAGCACAGACATGGATCTCCATATGAGTTGACTTAGTAAACAAAGATGACCTAGAAGTATCCTGAATTTATCTGATCCATCTCAGCTTTGGACCTAAATGCTGGACAAATCTGAATGAAACTGAGGCCTGCCTCCAAGGTTGGCAGAAGTATGCTAATTTTCAAGCTGTTTTCCCCTCACTTTTACCAATTTACACCTGATTAACTATAAACATATTACCCATACTTAGAAAAGATATTAAAAGAATTTAATGATCATATAGTTTATCCCCTCTGTCCACATAGAATCACTACCTTATCCTGAAATCTGTATAGGTAGAATTTTAAAAAATCTTAAAAGATTTTAAAATAAAACACAATAACTTAGTCTTTAAGATAATTTAAAAAAATTAGACAGGTCATGTCTAAGTATAGAATTATTCATTTACACAAATAAAAGATGGCTACATACATTAGCTTACCAAAGCAGTAATTTTAAATGCCTTTGAGAAAAAAAAAATGTTAAGCATTAAAGCATTAAAAACACATTATTTTATTACTACTTTGTGGTACTGCATAACACACCGTATATTGTATAACATATATAACACATAAAAGTCCAGACTTACCAAAAGCCTCTGAATGTACTCACTCAAACTCACAGCAACTTTTCTGGTGTTTTTAACTGCTCTATTATAAATAAAAGTTGTAGCACCCCGGTTCCAGTCTACTACAATTATATTCATATCGTCTTGATTCAACAAAATCCTTAGAAAGTTCTGAAGCCATGTTGGAGTGGAGCCTATTGGTCTATATCCATGAATAAGCCAGACGGTTTTCTTGTTTGTGTTGAAATTAACATTAACTGAGTTATCCTGCTCAAACAGCGGCTCAGCACAGTTTAGGTTGTTCCTTGTATACATCATCAGAAACATCTCCATTCTGGGATTAAACAAATCTCTGAAGGAATCCTTTATACTTAGCTGAGAGAATTTAAGGCATGGTCTTTTATTCTCTGAAATTAAAAAAAAAAAAAAAAAAAACAGTTGAATACTTGGTTTGTTTCTGTTTCTATTGCAAAGAACAGAATTGAATTCAGAGGGTGAGGAGGATTTCATTCCATTAGCACTTCAACATCATTTACCGAGCAACTACAATATTTAAAGTAATTTGTTCATTATGTAAAAAGAATTTTTGAAATAAAAGTATTTAAAATTACAATAAAATAAAGCAATAAATGTGGTTGATTAAAAACTAAGAATTATTTTTATCTGTACAAAATAGCAAGTGTGAGTAAAATCATTAATATTGTGTTAAGCACGCCAATAAAGTAGATAAATTGATTATGAATTTTAACAGACTTTCTTAGAATACTTACATATAGATAATAAGCATTAGAAAACTATATTTTACCTGACTAGTGATCAAATATAAATCAAAACAATAAGTCTGCTACTTAAAAATAGGTCATGTAAAGCACCCTGTTCTTTGTGAGTTACATTTGCTTACATCTTTCATGGAACATGACTCAGAAAATAATAGTGACAATTTGGAAATAGAATACCTTTTGTATTTCAACCAAGGGTAGACATTTATCTAGCAGTTAATGTGTAGTATGGCATTCTAAGCACTTTACGTAATTTACTTGAAAATCTTGGAGTAAGTACTGTTTTACCCATATTATATAAAGGAAGCTGAGTCACAGTTAACTTGCCCAAGGTTACAGGTGCACAAAGAATCAAGCCCAGGCAGTCTGGCTCCATAATCAGGTCTCAGTCACTAGTGTTATATTGCCCATATTAATGGGAACGTTTTTAAGCTACTTTGTACAGTTTGAGCACATTTAGGTTATTCTGTTGCTTTCTGGATAATTTTACTTGGATATGGCAAGCATCTTAAATTCAACACAGTCAAAAGTGAATCACATCTCATCCTAGGTGCCTTCAGTTTTCTATGACAGCTGTATCTATCGTATGTTTGTTTGAAATAAAAACCTTAACTTCTTGTAAAAAATAAATAAACAAACAATAAAGTATCATTTTCTTCTTATCGAATTAAACAAAACAGAAAAATCCTTTTAATACTCAGTATTTGTGAGGGTTAATGTAACAAGTGTTCATCTAAATGGATGCAGAAAGCATAAGTTGATACATCTTTTGACATTTTATTTGTGTGTACATACCACACACACATAATCTTAAAAACATTTATTCTTCCTGATTTTCTTTCTATGATTTAATTAAAGGAACAATTATATTTGATGTAAACACATTAACCTCAGGGTTACACATAATCACAATAAAATGTAAAACACATACTACAAGTATTCCCATTCATTTGAGTATCTTATATGTCTATTTATGTATGTACATATGTGTGTGTGTATCTATATATCAATCTATTAATCATCTACCCATTTCCTACTTATCCAGCCATTCATTCATCCATCCTAGATGGAAGGTAGGAAGAAAAGAAAACAACTAAGCCAAATCAATAGCAAGAGTCATTGCTAGTCAGTGAAACAATGGCTGCTTTATATTTCCTTTTTCATAGTTTTTCAGAATTATAATTTTTTTAAGTATATAATACCAATTTTTTTAAATGAGAGTATATGTTCATACTGCTTCTGAAAGGTTTACTTGGTAAGAAGATTTGGGAAAACAATTTTGTAATATATAGCAAAAATTCACAGAAGTGTTAGTATATTTTATGCCCATAATTCCACTTCTAGGAGTTTATCCCCAGAAAATAGTCACAACACTCATTAAAAAAGAATTAATATGTTATTTTAATACTGGATAAATAGAAGTGATTTAAATGCCCAGAAATAATGATTTATGTAAACTACATATTACATATCTGATAAATATAAATATATAAATATATAAGTATATAATACATATTTGATAAACTAAAATATGCATTAATATTCAATAATTACAATCATTCTAGTTTGGAAAATATGTATGTGATATAGTCACAATTATTTGAATAAGATATAGGAGGAAGGCAATGAAGGAAAAGCAAGACTTGAATTCAATTCCCAAGTTAACAGCTGAGGGGTACTTGGATAAGTGAAAAACTTGATACTTCATTAGTTCTCAGTACTAGAGAATATGAAAGTGGAGAGAAGAAACAAATCAAACCACAGTACAATATCAGTGCTTACTACACTGTACAAATTGTATAAAGAATGGTGTATATCTAACTTTCTGCAATCTGGAACTCTGGGGCCAAATGCAATCAATACATCCAAACTGCTGATCCATTCCAAGCCAAGGTAGATTTTAACTGGCCTTTGAATGAATAATGAGGAATAAACAGTAAGATCCCTGTTAGAAAATAAGAAAATCACCCAAAAACAATCAACAGATAAATCTACTTTCTATTACCAGATGTAGAATTAATTGCAGAAAACTATA